GCCTGGGGCGGCTTTTCACCGGAGTATACCCAGTCAGATGTATTTTTCCTCCAGATGCGGAGATGCTGCAGGGTGTTTCTGATCTGAGCAGCCGCTCTCACCCCTCCCCTCCGCCTTCCTCACCAAACCCCCCCCACCGCTTCCCCCAGAGAACACGAAAAGCTGCTCTTCTCTGAAGCTGCAAAGTACAACTTGTTCCACCCACACGGCACTGTCCAGATTGTACAGTTATGATGGCCTCGTATGAGTCCATTCCTAAATCAACTGCTCTTTATTGGAATCTGATACCCAGGTAAGAACACAGCAGCACTCTTGGGCTCACGGAGCATCTTTTCTATGAGCACCTACTCCTCTTCCCTACACCTCTTCTATGACAGATGAAAATTTAAGAACTTTCATTTTAAACAGAAATTAAATTGAAGGACTCATAAGAAAATAAACAGGAAAAGACAAAACTGGAAACAACTGAGCAGGCTTTGGTCAAATCCTTCTGGTTAACTTTTCAGAAAAGGAGACGGAGAGGAGGAAAATGCATTGTTACCGGTTTTGAATAATGAAACTTAAAAGGGAGAAGAGGGGTACAAGGAGTTGGGTAAGAGCATTTGAACTGAAAGAATCTTAAAGGACCATCAATTCAAGCCTTTTATATTACCACAGAAGAAGAAACTGAAGCCCAGAGAGTATTCAATCACAAAGAGACAGAGTACATTGGAGGAGAGTTTCAGGGTAATAAGAGTGGCAATATGGCATCATATTTATCAAATTCAGTCGTCCCTCTATCCACAGAGAATTGACTCCAGGACCCCTATGGAGACCAAAATCCTGATGTTCAATTTTCTGATATAAAATGTTGTAGTACTGACATATAACCTATATCCTCTTGTATATTTTCAATAATCTCTAGATTGCTTATTATACCTAACACAATGTAAATGCTATGCAAATAGTTGTTATCTTGTATTGTTTAGAAACGATAAGGAAAAAAGTCCACATATGATCAGTACGGATACAAGTAGGTCTAACTACATTTTTTATCTGGGGTTGGTTGAATCTATGGATATGGAATTGGGGATACTGATGCCAGCTGTACCTAATTAAAAAGGTACTGTTTCATAGACATTTATTTAAAATTATAAAAAAAAACCCATAAAAAACTAAATAACGAACTGGACCTAGTGACTCAGTCTGTAATCCCGCGCCTTTGGGAGACTGAGGTGAGTGGATTACCTGAGCCCGCGGGTTCGAGATCCGCCTGGGCAGCGAGACCTCATCTCTACAATAAATCAAAAATCAGCCGGGCGTGGTAGCGCGTGCCTGTAATTCCGGCTACTCGGAAGGTTGAGGCGGAAGGATCGCCGGAGCCCAGCAGGTCGAGGCTGCGGTGGCCGGGAGCGGCCACTGCACTCCAGTCTGGGCGACAGAGTGAGACTCCAACTCAAAAAAAAAAAAAACCAAAAAACAACTAAATAAAGACTTAGGAAATAAACTAAACTCTCCATCAAATTAGCAAATGTTAACATTTTGTCATATTTCCTTCAAACTGTAGAAATAAATGAACATTAAACGTCACAATAGAAATCCTCTGACCGTCTTCATTCCTTTCTCCTCCCTTTATCCCTAGCGTCATCCAATTCGTGAAGTCTATTCATGCTTATATTTTAATTTATTCATTTGTAGCCATAAATGATATATACCATTGACTTTTGTGTTTTCAAGATTTACAGTGATGGTGCCATTTTATACATTTTATTTTTCTACTGGCATTTTCTTTTGTTTACTCAGTATACTGTTTCAAGATGTATGGTATAGATCTATGCAGATACGGTTTATTCATTTTTTCTAACACAGTTCAGTCGACCATACCTCTAGTGAAAGATATTAAGGTTGTTTTTCATTTTACAGTCTTCTGGAGCACATAAGTATTAGTTTCTCTACTAGTAGAGTTGCTAGGTAGTAGGACATACACTACCTACTACCTTAAATTTCCATGGACTACTACCACTTTCAACTTCACTAAATAGTTCTAAATTCCTCTGCAAATTGATAGTATGAATTACACTTCTACCAGCAGGGATAGAATTCCTGTTTCTCTGTATTGTCAGCAACACCGCGACTTACTTTATTTAAGTTTCACGTTTTGTTAAGGTTTAAAATGGTGCATAATTATTGGATACATTTCCATTATTCTAATTTACATTGAGGTGAAAGATTTCCTTTGATATATAATTAAATATTTGCATTGTCTTCTTTGTAAATTTCATTTTACATTTGATTAAGTTGTTAGTCTTTGTTTACTGATTTTTTTTTTTTTGAGTTGGACTCTCACTCTATGACCTAGACTGGAGTGCAGTGGCCACTCCCGGCCACCGCAGCCTCGACCTGCTGGGCTCCGGCGATCCTTCCGCCTCAGGCTTCCGAGTAGCCGGAATTACAGGCATGCGCTACCCGGCTGATTTTTTGATTTATTGTAGAGATGAGGTCTCGCTGCCCAGGCGGGTCTCGAACCCGCGGGCTCAGGCAATCCACTCACCTCAGCCTCCCAAAGCGCTGGGATTACAGGCTGCGCCACCGAGCCCGGCTGGCTTCTTTCGTTTAAAGTTGTTTGTGGTATATTTTTATCCTGTGAAACTTACAATTTTGTGATATACTCAAAATTATTCATCATAATCTTGATACAAGTGCATTAAGAGAAAAAAAATTATAACCCTATTTCACTTACAAACATATATGGAAAAATCTCAAAGAAAATGTTGGCAAATTGACCAGCTGTGCATGAAAAAGTTAACAATACTGTGGCTCTGTTTTAGTCCACTCCTAAGTTAGCTGCTCTTTTGCTGCAGTCTGATGCCCAGGTAAGGACGAAGTAGCACTCCTGGACCCACTGAGCATCCTTTCGATGAGCACCTACTCCTCCTCCTTACACCTCTTCTATTGCAGAGATGACAGATGAAAATTTAGGAGTTTTATTTTAAATGGAAATTGAAGGACTCATAAGAAAATACACAGACAAAAAAAAAAGCCTTACTTAGGGTTTGAGTATACCCTAAGTATGAAAGGATGGCTTGATTAACAAAAAAAGTCTATAAATATAATTTGCAATATTAATAGATTATAAAGTAAAAACATGTTATTATTTCATTAGATGCTACAAAAATACCTTGATAATGTTAAATTCTTGACTAAAAAACTCTTTGTAAATTATAAATTGAGGGCCAGGCTTGGTGGCTCAGCCTGTAATCCCAGCATTTTGGGAGGCCAAGGCGAGTGGATTGCCTGAGCCCGCAGGTTCGAGACCAGCCCAGGTAACTTGATGAGACCTCATCTCTACAATAAATTTTTTAAAAAAATTATAAATTGAATACAATTTTCTTAAACTGATAAACTGTAGCAAAACATCTTCATTATGGGGAAATTTTGGAAGCATTCTAATTTAATTAGAAATGAAACAAAAATATCAATGATTCTGATTTTTATTTAACATAATATTGAGGTTCCTAGCCTAAAGCAATAAGAAATGAATGAGAAAGTGTGAGAATTGGAAAGGTAGGAATAAAGTGTCATTATTTTCAGATAAGATTGTTTATACAGAAAAATTCAAAAAAGTTTAGGAGAAAAAATGAGAAATAATAAGAGTTTAGGGAACTGAGTAGTATAAGAATAAGCTGAAAATATGTTAATTTCTCTACAGCAACAACAAACTACTAAATATTATAATTAAAAAGAATATTATCGTGTCACATAGAATAAAGTACTTAGCAATAAATCAAACCAGAGAAAAATGTACACAATTTCTTCAGAGAAAATTATAACAGAAAAGAGACATGAGACCTAAATAAATGGCATGATATACCATATTTATGGATAAAAAAAATTTTAAAGAAATCAATTCTGTCCAAGTTGATCTATTGATTAAATACAATTAGTTCCACCATATCGACCACAAATCTTTGGGACTGTAAACTTGTCAAACTTTCCTTTTATTTAATTACAAAAGAAAAAGTAGAAAAAGTAAATGAGAAATTTTTATAAATTACTATATTTCTACTTTGAGTGATGACTATAAGATTTTTTTCCATATTTTATGTCTATGTATATATGTGGTTTTTTTTCCCCCTCATTGTGTATACGAGTTCTGAGTGGTCTTAAAATATATCCCCAAATTCTCTTATACTCTTCTCTCCAAAAAGTGGAACTTAATTCCCCTTCCCATGAGTGTGGACTCAACCCAGTCACTTGCTTCTAATGGATAGCATATGATGAAAGTGATGTGTATGCATTCTGATATTAAATCATAAAAGTAATTTTGGATTCTGCCTTATTTCCTTCCAGATCACTCACTCTGGGAGAAGCTAGGTGCTATGTTGTGAAGGAATTCAAGTTACCTATGGAGAGGCCCACATGGCAAGAAACTAAAGCCTCTTGCAATGCCACGTGAGCAAGATACATTAAAAGAAGATCCTTCAGTTCCAGTCAGGCTTTTAGATTACTGCAGCCCATGTTAATGACCTAATAGCACCCTCATGAAAGACCCTGGGCAAAGACCACTCAACCAAACTGCTCCCAAATCCTTAACCCACAGAAAATATGAGATAATAAATGTTCATTCTTTTATTGGGCCACGAAGTTTTAAGATTATTTGTAACACAGTGATAAATAGCTAATATATCATATTTCTATAAATATTTGTTAATGATCTTTTTAAAGGTCCTTTTTTCCTTAATACAATTTCAAGAGCAGCATTCATTTAATGTAATTCAAAAGTATTATATTCTCAGCCGGGCTCGGTGCTCAGCCAGTAATCCCGCGCCTTTGGGAGGCTGAGGTGAGTGGATTGCCTGAGCCCGCGGGTTCGAAACCCGCCTGGGCAACTTGGTGAGACCTCATCTCTACAATAAATCAAAAAATCAGCCAGGCGTGGTAGTGCATGCCTT